GGTTCAGGGCGGTTAAAAATGGTTTGAGGTGATTCAATCATGAATCCGGCCTTTCAATCATGAATGCCATCCAAAAACTAGCTCAGTAGAACCTGGTAGACTTTCTACCTRAAGTTCATAACTTCAAATCAAAGTTTAAAACTTCCAATCAATATTTTTGCTCTCTGGGGAKAGCACTTGCACACTGCGCGAGCCCCATTTCAATTGTTATRAAACTCATAGTAATTCAAAAAGGATTGGGTAATATTTTTTGAAGGTACAGTGTATCTAGAATAATAAAAATAATCTTTCCCTTTAACTTGTTGCTGAGWTGAGAATAATGGAAAAATCAAAAACATAATGCATGAGTCAGCAATTTTTCTATCAACGCTAGCTTTTTKGGTTTTTGGGTTTTTTTACAAAAGCCAGGAATAGTAGAATGCACAACTCTGAAGAAAGAGGTGATACTGACAATACTGAAGCCACGCTTTGAATACAGCTGTTTGACTTGTGCCATCATACACGCTATGAGTGTTGCTGCCTTTGAATTTAATATCATTTTGACGGTACCAAACTTAATGTGGCRAGATATGGTGACAAAGAACCTAATCCCATTCACATACATGATATCAGCACCAAGCTCCACTTGCGAGTACTTGGTCAGCATCGTATCCGGCAAGGGGCTGATTTCGACCCTCACATGCTGTTCTGGTCTCCTAACAGTCTTGCCTTTAAGCCCAACTATGGTCGGCCCAAAAATCTCCTCTGCAATCTTGATATCCTCGCGGGTGATGTCACAGTTCCTCAGGAGGTTGTTATCAACAAGCCGCATCATCTCACTTGCTGTGGCGTTTAGGATATCCTGGGCCTTCYGAGCCTTGATTGCCCGGCAATGGTCCAGATCTGAGAACTTCATCTTCTKTTCTTCAACTGTTACAATGTTCAATAATATCGATTCGTCCTCCATCATGTCGCTGTAGTRCAGGCCACAATGTGACTGCTTGAACTCCCTGTACTTGGTTCCATCAGTGCTGTACATCCAGAAGATATTGTCCACTTCACTGTCATATGTAACCCTATGATTCTGTTTTATTGCTGATAATGAAAGTATGTTAGCTATTCCTCCTTTGTGGTAMGGGAACTCTCCAACCCACTTTGTCGATGCTACTCCTGCATTGCAGTAGATCTTCATATGTTGCTCAACCTGCCRAATGTTCTTGAGGAACCGTGGATTACAGACCACGTTGACTGTTGATTGGTTGTCCAGTAGTAACCAATTTGGGTTGATCCATCCTCTGGCTTGGCTCAGTATGGTGTTATAGCTCAAACTTGCAGTTTCATTGCCCGCAGCATTCATTGGCTGTTCRATCATTGATACTGTGCAGAACAATAGCTGGCATGGCTTGTTGTTGTATGTATCAAGTATGTCACCCATYGTTATATTCGTTGTTCCTGTGGATGTCGTTSTTGCAKGTGTATTGACCGGATCCCGTTGTTCTGGTTCCTTCTTCACCTGCTGTTGTTCCATACTCTTGTTGAAGCTGGCTATGTCTTCTGGTTTGCACATACCCTGCCAGGAGAGGTGTCCCATCTTCCCGCACCGATAGCACTAAACATTCCCTTTGCCTCTGCCCCTGTTGTTGTTGGCCGCATTTCCATCCTGTAGGAATGCTACCCCATCTCCTCCTGCTTGCTTGGGGTTGTGTCTTCCATCTTGCTTGTAGTTTATGATAATRTTTTGCGCCTCCGTTGTATCTGTTGGATAATTGTTTTGTCCCATGAGATAGTCATTCTCAAGCTTCTGTTTGATAATTCCATATCTGCCATGGTTGCTGTTTTCAAGATATATAGTTGTTGCAAGTGTCATATTWCTGSTTCTTTGTGTAACATCTRTCCTTTCACGATTATTGAGGGACTGATATGTTCTTCCTTGGTAGTGCTCTTGCATTATATAATTGCGGATACCTGGTAGCTGGAAGTCTGCCCCACACACCACTGATGCTGTTACAAGGTTCTCAAACTGTTCATACCACTCAATGTCTGTCATTAGGTCCCCTTGCTTGGTCCTAATGAGTGCCACTAGCG